CCCACATCACGAGATCTGACTTGGTTGCGGTTCAGGGACTTTTGACGGCAAATTGCTAAATGAATCAAATTCTTCAACCTCATCTTCTACCAAACATTGTCCGCCAGAGGGACCTTTTTCAACAGGACAACGATCCTCCGCAAACAACTCGTGTCAAGGTAGATTCCCTCATAATGTCAACATCAACGTCTTGCCCTGGCAGTAGAGACCCCCAGATCTCAACCCAATCGAACACCTGTGGGATGAACTCGATCGACATGTACGTCAACGTCAGAACACACCGCAGAAACTCCCACAAGTGGCCAACGCGTTACAAGCAGAATGACGCAGAATTCCGCAGGACAGAATTCGTACACTTATCCAGGAAGTGCAGAGGAGATGCAGAGCCGTGATTGCCGTGAGTTCAGTGCAACCTTGTGGACTTGTGTGACATGACAATGAACAGTTTTCAATGTCTTTGTACAACGACAACATGTGACTATCGAGATCCAAAATAAATCAAATATATCGACTTTATTAAGGACAATACATTAACTAAAAATCCGGACAACAGAATACATTACTGGTTGAAATGACCCTACTGGCATAACCTCACTGCCAACGGAACGACCCTGAAATCACCGAAGTTGAGGACAGCTCATAAAACATTTCTCGTTGACAATTCAACATAATGTCACACTATTGATTTGTAACTGCGAAGGAGCAGGAACACAACAGCGGAAAATGTCTCATTAAATAATCATGCTACTGTTTTTGTGTAACCTTGCAGCTCAAATCAATCCCATCCAGTCAAATACGTGATGAGTCACACAGATGACAAGATCGTCATATCTTGCCATGCTTCTTATCCTGAATATTTAAGTTGATACAGCACTTGATTCAACAAACTTCACTACAACTCTCGCTAATGTATATGGGTGTGGGTGTAGACAATGTGGGGAACTATCATATCTGATATTCAGTTGACTTAATCTTGAGTAGGTCTTTGTGTAACTTGAGTGAGTGAGTGAGTGAGTGAGTGAGTGAGTTGAGTTTAACGCTGCTTTTAACATTATTCCAGTTATATCACGGTGTGTCAGCTTAATGTGGGAGAAAAGCCCGAAGTGATGCAGGACGTTTACCACTTCGGTGAAACCTACGAGCACGCGTATGGTGCTGACAAACCTAGAAACATAATCGGGGATAACCGGGATTCGAACCAACAATCATAGGTTTTTGGCGTGTCCAGGGGACGCAACTCCCCCAGGTTTAAGAAGTTAAATGAATCTTCTTGACCTTGAATAATATTTGCTACATTTATCGCTGCCTGTTAACCCTTTTCAAAATGTTCTAAGACAGCTGACCCATGTACCAAAGAGTAATTTCGCATTCCAAAAGACTAGCATTTTAAAAGCGTACTTGCCGTCATGGTAGAATGCCGATAAACCTACTGCGCAAAAGCGCTCGGATCTAAAATTAAAGAAGAAGTATCAAAGCGAGACGACCACGAATTTCAAAACACAGAGAGTTTATCTCGTAAATATATATATCTTTAATTCCATCAAACTTTACCTGACATGGTCTATAGGTATAAGTTGAGGGGGGTTAAAGTACTGTAAAATCATTGTCCCCCTGAAAGTGTACGTAAGTTCCACATCATTCAAAGTACATTGGGTCTATCCCCGTTTTATTTGTTGGTTTTTAATTGATAGCTACATTTGACTATAATGGCCAGCGACTGAAGGCATGGTGTAAATCCTGCTGTGGAGCCGTGAAGGAAGCAGAAGTATTGTAAGTCCCCATGGTCCCTAGTGTATGGTGGCCAAACTTTGGATGCTGTCGATCTCTAGCTCGTTTTTATCATGTATTGTTATGTATCGTTACATCGTTTTATCGTTTCGTACTAGTTTAAAAAATGTCTGAGATACTCTACTCATTTTACTGTCCTTTGTTGAAAGGTATTTTAGAAAGTTTACACAAATTTCGTATGTTTGTTCAAATTGTAGCACGATATGGCTGAAATACTGCCGATGTGACTGTAAATCTTAACTCACACACTCACTATAGATGTAAGTGGCGTCCTTCCATTCAACCATAGCAGTGCTTTATTTCTAACAGGTATCCTGAGAACTATTTCGTTTAAAGTGGTATTAGTGGAAATGTATGCGTAAACTTCAAAACAAAAGAATTATTTAAACTGGATAGTCATAAATAATAAATAATCATGTGGCGGTATCAGTCAAAGTAAACACTGGCATCTCGTAAAGCGTCATTTAATGAAACTGATTAATATTAGATGCAGTAACATGTTCAGGGCGTATGGCTTCTTAAGTCCATAACGGCAATACATTGAGCAATCCGTATGGTAATTTCAATAGATGGCGCAGGTCCATGGTTGTCTGATTTGTTTACAGGCCGCCTTCGTATCACAGGAGTGAGGAGTGCCGCGTTAGGCTTGATGAAACACTTAACATTTGTATGCAAATTGAGTGGTGGTGGTTGCTTCCCATAGGGCAGAACACGCGTACCCTTTTCGCGATCATTTGACTCTGACTCTCTGACTTTGAAGTTGTATTTGTATTCCGTAAACTTCGCATAAACGAGTGAGTGAGTGAGTTGGGTTTAACGCCGCTTTTAACAGTATTCCAGTTATATCACGGCGTGTCAGCTTAATGTGGGAGGAAAGCCCGAAGTGATGCAGGTCTCAGACGTTTACCACTTCGGTGAAACCCACGAGCACGCGTATGGTGCTGACAAACCTAGAAACATAATCGGGGCGAACCGGGATTCGAACCCACAATCATAGATTTATGGCGTGCCCAAGAGACGCAACTCTGCACAGCGAATCGCGGCGCCTTAGACGACTGGGCCACCCGTGCCCCCTCGCATAAACGAGTCTGATTGATGTTTGATGCAGTGCAATATGTATAAGGACGTATGCGTCTTCATCTTTTATCTTTACAGCACTTGTAATATGTTGTACCTGACCTTATTCATTATGAAAACAGGGATGACCAAGGTGTCACAATTCGAGAGACAGAGATGCGTCCTTCAGGCGTGCCAGAGGCGTTTGGTCGCGTGTTTATACGCCAAAACCGCCATAATATATATTTCTTGAGTTGTCGTGAACATACACGACCGGTATCACTTCAGCCCTGCTATTAACATCAATCTGAACTGGCGCGATATAAAAATGGGGTAAACTAACTTCAGTATAAATCTTTCTTATATTAAGATACACGTCGTTTTAGAGCTGAAATGTTTCTAAATAGCCCTACGCACGTCATTGAAACTTAGTAAACATGCATCAACGTGTTAACTAAAACGTGTCACTAAAATGTTGGTTGTTCCCGTAACTTAAGTATTGATTGTCATGTTATTCCCAAAACAAGGAATTCACTTTTTACTTGAATAGATTTGCGTTTTAGAGAAGATTACTCCATGACATGGTTCTGATGATATGCATCACGACTGTGGAATCCGTTTACTTCAACGTCGGCGGTGGTAGTACCAAATCCACTCTGATGATACACATGATAACTGAGTTTGATCACACCAAACATCTGATGTAATCGATGTAATGTACTTGTAGTTTACGTGTAATCATTAGTGGGAACAAGCATCTGAAGTTTCGACTTCGTTGGTCATGTGATGGTGGACGCTTGCGACGACGATCATACAATGTTTTGCCCTCACTCTATGAAGGTTCATGCTGCAATGAACTCACGCAAATTGAAAGGCAATTCTTATATTTGTTTTATCACAATTTCTTTCCTCAAAGGACGTAGGCCAAGATCTAAACACAATTTTATTTAGTACGTGTGACTTCATGTTTACACCAGCTATATCGCGGAATAAAATAGATCCCCAAAAGAGAGGTGACATGAGCGTATGGATGCAGAACTTGCTCTTCAGAAACATCTTACGCAACACATGTATTCATATAATATCCCCATTAGATGAGAAAGGTCTGTAATGAACTACCTCAGTAAGTCAGTCACAATGACAGCGCGTCGTAATACATTTACATCAAGTACAAGACGTCAAAATGGCCGACACGATAAACGTGACGGGAGAGATTTCCGAAGTTGTTAATGAACCTATGGCGGTTACATGTGTAAGTCACCATTGATCAACTGGCCGATCATTGAAAGGTGAATAAAAAGATGCGTCAAAAAGACACTAAGGTAAATTCATAGATTGCTGGAGACGGACAGTGTCAGCCTAGACACGGATCGAGTCGATACTACGATAGTTTAGATGTGCATTTCTTCGTTCGTTCATTAGGATAGGCCGTAGCGAGGATTTTTGTGAACAATCATGCTGTCACGCTCTCTGACATTTCTCAATGTTTCCTGAAACGCTGAGACCAAGAAAAAAAAGTTCTAAATGATCAGAAAGAAGGCTAACGTATGTTTTCGTTCTAGGGAATTCCCAGGGGTTTCCCAAGGAATGTGGAAGTACTCCGTCAGTGCCTACGTCAGTTCAAGAACACGGTCTCGTGAAAAACGGATAAACGTCAAATTGTGTCGTTCATACACTTATGACCGTAGATTTCGCGGTCATATGACCGACCTCACGTCCAATGGAAAAGCCGTATATCGTCTAAACTTCAAACTAAAAAATAAGAAGAACTTGGACAAGACAGCACCAAAAACCTGTAAACCTGTATAATATTCAAACAAAAAAGGCAAATGGCGATGGATATATTGCCAACTACAAGGTCTTGAAAAATTAATCTGATGAATTTGGTTTTAAATAAGCGAGTAAATTAATATCCATTTGAAACACATCTGTAATAATGAGCTAGAGTACAGTAAGTCACAGGCTCGCATGCCTGGTCGTCAGAGGCGATACATTTAGAATGTGTCTTCTGAACTTGTTGATAGCGTGATTGATGTCCCTGATGACGTAGATCGTTGCGCATGTTGTCAGTCAGTGGTTTGTCCAATATAGAAATGATAGACGGTTTGCACACTGCTTGGGTAAAATGTTATTGCAATGAAAGAGAAAGATTCGAGGAGGTCACATTTTTTATTCAGAAATGTGAAGGGGTAATAAAATAAAACACCAGTAAGTAGTGATGTACATTTCCATTGTGTAGGTATTTATTTCCATGTATCATGGCCCGCAGTAGTTATGCGACCCATTAGTTTAAGTGTTGATTGCATACATCCTGCATGGCACGGAACAAGTGACCAATTAGAACAGCTGTTGTACACTAGACAATCTTATAGATGGAAATCCTCCAGTGCCACCCACACATCGTGCTTCTGTCACCAGTACATGGGGCGTTGCATTCACTGTCGGGTTTCTTCATGTACCCACCTTTGATGACATCACCACAGAAGCATTCAAATCCTGCCTGAAATCAGAAGAGGCATGTGCAATACTGTATCTGATTTCCTGCTTATTTGGAAACTCCAACACTAAGCCCCCCATAACCTGATGTATATGTCTGAACCTGTGATTCTGAAGAAGGGAATAAACAAACTGGACATGAGGCGCTCGTCACAAAAACAATTGAATTAACATCATGGTACAAATCTGCAGGTTGCCAGCAACAGAAATGTGAGTATCTCGTGGTTATTATCCGAGATGTATCCGGTTTGAGGGGCTGGTGTGATGTGTTTGTTTGGTGTACTAGTCTGATGGTCTAGTCTGGTGTATGGGCCTGATGAAATATTATCATGTATGAGGTTCTGGTCAGATGTACTGCTCTGAGATACTGGTCAGATGCATAGAGTTGATTTAATGTTAGTCTGATGTATTTGTGCAATGACATGAAATATACCAAGTTACCAAAATCGAACACCCGATCAAATTCTCCTCATACGATACTCCATAGGATTCAATTCTTACCCAGAAACCCCATGTCCTTCAATATAGCGTAGTGATGTGGATTATGACATGTGCATCGATAGTATGTGCATCGCTTCTACAGAACATACTAAATATGCACCCCTTAATATCATGGGAATCTGTACTGATACATGATGTTCTTGCAACCCTAATTTGGGCGATCTCTGTCTTCCCACTGGTACAAATGTAGAATGTTCCAAATCAAACCACCAGTATCTTGCCGCAGAATGACATCATGTTGGCTCTGTTACCATTTTAATTTAACCGGAAGAATAATAACTACTGTTTACCCATGTTTGACCTGTAAAGAAGTTTTAAGTCTTGTGTTGTAGGCGTTAGCTCACAAATATTTGTTTTAGTTACATATAAGCCTTGTTTATCAGATTTGAAAATCAGCAAGTGATTTCATCTGCTTTTAAACTTAAACACTTGTGTTTCTTTCTGCTGCATTTGATTATGTGTACTATTGTTGATTATTTAAAGAAATATATTATTATAAATTTCAAAATTGTCTACCTCAGTTCCAAAGTAAATGTAGTTCATTCCGTGGCAGTGAAGCTTGCATGTTTCAGTTGTCAGGCATCTTCTGTCCCCAATTTTGCCGTATGGAAGTACACGACGCCAGTCATCGGCGTAACACCCAACGTATGTGTATGGAACTGTTGGAGTAGATAAATAATAATGATCAGTAGGGGACATAAAATATAATGTGAACAGATTAGCCAAATGTAATTGGTTATGAAATACATGCAAATTAAATGTTATAAGAGAAAGGTGTGCTCACGACCAAGCATGACGAACACGTGAAAATTGAAGAAATTTACTTAATGTTAACGGTAGAATGGTATGGTCCCTGTGTACATCATATGCACAAATAGAAATTGTTTCCGATTACTGAACAAGTATATTATATCAACACTGCTTCCGGAATGCGACACAGAAAATATTAACGTCTAACACGGCAATAAGTTGTTATGATGATGGATTCTCATATATGTAGTTTGAACATATATTTTTTTTATCAGTAAAAGAAATCCGAGTACTTGTAGCTGTAATCACGAGACATGTCGCACTACACCTACCATTTGCCTGATTAACAGTGGCAGGACATGTCGTGGTAGTAGTCGTAGTTGGTAGAGTCGTGGGTGTGGTTGTGGTAGGCGATGGAGTCGTGGTGGTAGTGGCTGGTGATGGAGTCGTGGTGGTAACGAGGGGTGGTTGAGTCGTGGTGGTAGTGGTAGGTGGTGGAGTCGTGGTGGTAACGGGAGATGTTGGAGTCGTGGTGGTCGTGGCTGGTGATGGAATCGTGGTAGTAATGGAAGGTGATGGAGCCGTGGTGGTAGTGGTAGGTGATGGAGTCGTGGTGGTAGTGGGAGGTGGTGGAATCGTGGTGGTAGTGGTAGGTGATTGAGTCGTGGTGGTGGAGTGAGGTGGTGGAGTCGTGGTGGTAGTTGGAGGTGATGGAGTCGTGGTGGTAGTGGTCGGTGGTGGAGTCCTGGTGGTTGTGGTCTGTTGTGGAGTCGTGTTGGTGGTAGTGGTAGCAGATGGCGTCGTTGACGGTGTGGTAGTAGTGGTTGTGGTAGTGGCGGCTGTTGATGCCACACACACGTAGTTAGTCCCTGCTTCAACTGGCACACAAACCTCGTTCTCTTTACACGGACGCCCGCGACAAACCATCCCCTGAGACTCTTTCTGCCAACACATATGAAAAAAAAACATTACAGTTTCTACTCTGAATATTGGATTTCATTAGGACATACATACAGGATGCGATAATATTTTTGAGTGAAAAGCTCCCGTGGATCTTTTCAAAAACCTGTTCTAAATGTAGAAAAAAATGAAACACAGGTTAGATACATGGATACATGAAGACTTTTTAAGTGTCCCCCAATATCGTATTGCTGAAATATTACTTGAAGCAGCATTAAACCTAAATCATTCCAAACTAGTTTTTAAGGGTAGTGATAACAGTAATCGTTGAGTATAGCAACACGAATGAACCTGCTAAATTCTAAATCCGTTTATCTCGAAATGTATCCTTCTGTGGAGACGTCCCGTATATACATATATATCTTGTTTCCAGTTCATCATTCCCCTATTACCTAGAATGTGCATCATTTGGCCCCAATGGCCGCAAACAATTATTTCGTATATTATTTGTAAGGGTGTGGTTGTGGGCTAGTGGCGAGGTGGCAGGGTAAAGGGTGAACTTGGAGAAAAGGTTTGGTTGTGCGAAATGATTGAGGTTGTCGAGATGGTGAAAAGTTTTGAGATTGCGTGAGATTTTCGGCAAGGGGTGACGATGTGGGTTGTGGGGGCGCCTGGGGTTGTTGGGAACGGGGCGTGGTTTTGCGAAAGAGCTGAGGTTGTGGGAAGTGGTGATGTTTGGCAAGGGGTATGCTTGTTGGGAATGAGTGCTGTTTTATGTGGTTGTGTGAAAGCTTGCGGCTTTTGTGAAATAAATGAGGTTGTGCGAATGGGGTATAATTGTGAACATGGACACAACTTTGTGTGAAATCGAGCGATTATGTCAGAGTGGTGCAGTGGAAGGTTGAGGATTCATTGAGTGGTGTTTGGTTGTGAGGAGAACATATGCAGTTGTGTGGAGGGGGCGTGGTTGAGCAAGTGGTGATGCTGTTAGAAAGGGGTAAGGTTGTGGGAAAGGGGCGCTGTTGTGAAAAAGCTCTCCGTACTAGCAATATTCAAGCAATATCACGGCGGGGGACACATGAAATGGGTTTCACACATTGTCCCCATGTCGGAAATCGAACCTGGGCCTTCGGCGTGACGAGCGAACGCTTAAACCACTAGGCTAGGGTTTACATTCTGAGAAAAGTGTGATGGTTGTGAACAAGAGGCGTGAAAGGACAACTCTCATATTCTGAAACATGCTTCATGTATACAGCTTTATAAATACAACTGCATGCATACAAATAAAGACTTTTTTTACCAACACCCAATCTCAATATCTCAATGACAAAGGGTGTGTGTGTGTGTGGGGGGGGGGGGGTTGGTGTTAGTCCTAGCTGAATACATCTATAATGAGTTGTCTGTGCCCTTTAAATGGGTAAAGACATTAATCTATGACTCGGTTAAGAAAGTGAATGTCAAACTATAAAACACGAGAAAGACAATGTAACGCTTATACACTTTACATTTCCACAGTAGCAGAGTCCTGTTTATACGTGATCAAAGTGGAGTACCATCAAGGAGGAACACTGTTTTCATTCCGTAAAGTATGGTGGATGATTAATTCAAGATTGGAAATACTTTTCTTTTCCCATTCATATTCATATTTGTGTAGTGTTACAAAAGGGAACAACAAAGTCCCAACACATTCTGTACAATAATATCCAGAATGGGTTTGTAATTACTCACTTATTTAATGAAGATAACAATACACTTTTTATTTTAATATACAAATAGGAGACTATGCTATAATCACAATGTAGTGATTTTCATCCTATATATGTTATTATGTTATTCAACTTACCCAATACTTTGCAAGGGGCATCGTCTCTGTCCCTGTGTCACCTTGTGTGTGCAGGTGGCAGCTTCTTGTGACAGCATCCCAGGTGTAGGAGCCACACCTCGTTGTGTATGCACACAGAGAATCACATACCAGCGAGGATGGCACCACTCTGGTAAGGAACACCTCCTCGCCTTTACATGTGGCGTGGCTACATATAATGTAGACTGTAACTACCTCAAACACAAACATGTACATAGCTGAGGGTACTGATCGATGTTACTTACTCCAACAGAGGCCGAACAGCGACAAACATGCAAGCAGTAACGAACAGCTTAATATATCAAGCGTTGGGGGATTAACTTGCACATTAATATTGATAGTGAAGTTCTTCAAGTGCTAACTTAAGGACTAACAACTTATTGATTGCTTTTCTATAAGTGAGGGACGGCCGTTTTCTTTTTGGTAATTCATCAACAAAGTAAGGAAAATAATTGGAATGTTTGAGAAAATTTGATTGAACACATATTTATCCCACACATACAGAGAGGAAGACAATGTATCTCACTAGATCCCACAACAGCCTCCCGTTGTATCCATCCTACACATGTTCACATATATTTCATTCCATCCTACACATGGTCACATATATCTCACTCGATCATACACATGGGCACGTGAACGGCCGGGCTAGAATAGATCTTCAGCATCCCATGCTTGCTGTAAAAGGCGACTATGCTTGTCGTAAGAGGCGACTAACGGGATCGGGTTGTCGCTGGCTTGGTTGATGCAATTCATCGAAACAAATGCGCGGATCTATGTTCATGATATCAATCTCTGTATTGTCTGATCCAGACTTTATTAATTGCAGACCGCCGTCATATAGCTGGAATATTATTGAGCACTGCGTTGGACAACAAACAAACACACAAAGCAACCATGGTCACGTCTCTAATCCCATCCTCAACATGCCCATATATATCTCACTCCACCCTACACATAGTCACATATATCTCATTCCATCCTACACATGGTCACGTCACTCATCCCGTCCTAAACATGGTCACATATATCTCACTCCATCCGTCACATGGTCACATGTATGTCACTCCACCCTACACATGGTCACATATATGTCACTCCATCCTACACATGGACACGTCACTCATCCCGTCCTAAACATGGTCACATATATCTCACTCCATCCTACACATGGTCACATATATCTCACTCCATCCTACAAAAAGTCACATATATCTCACTCCATCCGTCACATGATCACATATATCTTACTCCATCCTAAACATGTCCACATATATGTCACTCCACCCTGCACATGGTCACATATATCTCACTCCACCCTACACATGGTCATATATATCTCACTCCATCCTACACATGGACACGTCACTCATCCCGTCCTAAACATGGCCACATATATCTCACTCCACCCTACACATGGTCACATATATCTCACTCCATCCTACACATGGTCACAAATATCTCACTCAATCCTACGCATGGTCACATATATGTCACTCCATCCTACACATGGTCACATATATCTCACTCCACCCTACACATGGTCACATATATCTCACTCCATCCTACACATGGTCACATAGATCTTACTCCATCCTACGCATGGTCACATACATATCACTCTATCCTTCACATGGTCACATATATGTCACTCCATCCTACACATGGTCACATATATCTCACTCCATCCTAAGCAAGTCCACATATATGTCACTCCATCCTACACATGGTCACATATATCTCACTCCATCCTACACATAGTCACATATATCTCACTCCATCCTACACATGGTCACGTCACTCATCCCGTCCTAAACATGGTCACATATATCTCACTCCATCCGTCACATGATCACATATATCTCACTCCATTCTACACATGGTCGCATATGTTGCACTCCACCCTACACATGGTCACACATATTTAATTCCACCCTACACATGGTCACATATATCTCACTACATCCTTCACATGGTCACTTCACTAATCCCGTCCTAAACATGTCCACATATATCTCACTCCACCCTACACATGGTCACATATATCTCACTCCACCCGTCACATGGTCATATATATCTCACTCCACCCGTCACATGGTCACATATATCCCACTCCACCCTACACATGGTCACACATATCTCACTCCATCCTAAACATGTACACACATGTCTCATTCCACCCAACACATGTTATGGAAAAAGATCGGCGATTCCGGACAAAGGGCTAGTGGAAATGACTGCTATTTAGTGGAGGAGTTATGGTGTGCAGAGGAGATTCAATCTCCAGATATGTTGCGAGGCATATTGCGACACATTTTACATTTGGCATGTTCCTGAAGATCAGAATAGCATTTCAGAATTGATGGAACGACATACATGAGGTAATGTAACTTTGATTTTTATAAGTGACCGGTTACTTTTGACTTTAAGTATATTGACGCTCTTATCTCTATTAAACTGCAAACTAAATGTAGCTATTCGTACATTACACTTAGCTTTGTAACTTATGTCCAGAATGTGTTTTAAATTACTCACTTATTTCATGCAGATACCTTTACATTACTTCTATCATGATGCCAATAGGTGACAATGCTATAATCACAATGTTATCATTTTTTTCATCCTGTGTAAGTTATTATGTTGTTAAACTTACCCTATACTTTGCATGGGGCGTTGTCTCTGTGTCTCCTTGTGTGTGCAGGTGGCAGCTTATGGTGACAGCATCCCAGGTGTAGGAGCCACACCTAGTTGTGTAGGTACACAGAGAACCACATCTCAGGGAGGAAGGCACCACCCTGGTGACGAACACCTCCTCGCCTTTACATGCGACGTGGCTACATATAATGCAGACTGCAACCATCCCAAATACAAACATAGCTGGGGATACTGTTATACTTGACGTATTCCTACTGAGGCCGACCAGCGACAAACATGCAAACACTATATCAGGTCGTGGTGGGGGATACGTGCACATTATTCTGAGAGAGAAGTCAAGTGCTACCTTAAGAACTTACAACTTATTGATTGATTTTTCATGAGTGAGGGACGGTGGTTTCTTGTGGGTAGAGCGTCATCAACGTAGGGAAAATGATTGGAATATTTTAGATAATATATTTGAAAACATATTACGCCACAAAGAGTCAGAGGAAGATAATGTATCCAACTTAATCTCATACGTGGTCACATGTCTCTAAACCAATCCTCCACTTGGTCACATGCATCTCACCCTATCCTGCACATGGTCACATGTCTCCCATCCCATCCTAGACATAGTCACATGTCTCTCTCTCCATCGAAAATATGTTCATGTATCTCACCTTATCCTACACATGGTCACATGTATCTCACTCAACCCTACACATGGTCACATGGTCTAACCCCATCCTACACATTGTCAAATATATATCTCACTCCATCCCAACATGGTCACATGTCTCTCATCAAATCCTTCACATGGTCACATGTCTCTCACTCCGTCGAACACATGTTAATGTATCTCACCCTATCCTACACATGGTCACATGCATCTCAAGCTATTCTGCACATAGTCACATGTCTCTCATTCAATCCTACACGTGGTCACATGTCTCTCACTCAATCCTACACACGGTCACATTGTCTAACCCCGTCCTACACATTGTCAAATATATCTCTCACTCCATACCACACATAGTCACATGTCTCTCACCCTACCCTACACATGGTCACATGCATCCCAGCCCATCCTATACATGGTCACATGCATCTCACCCTACCCTACACATGGTCACATGCATCCCAGCCCATCCTATACATGGTCACATGCATCTCACCCTACCCTACACATGGTCACATGCATCCCAGCCCATCCTATACATAGTCACATGTCTCTCACCCTACCCTACACATGGTCACATGCATCTCACCCTACCCTACACATGGTCACATGTATCTCACCCTATCATTCACATGGTCACATGTCTCTCAGACCATCCTAAACATGGTCACATTGTCTCACCCCATCCTAAACATTGTCACATGTCTCTCCCTCCATCCTAAACATGGTCACATGTCTCTCACCCAATCTTACACTTGGTCTCATGTCTCTCATCCCATCCTTCAAATGGTGACATGTCTCTCACTCCATCCTACACATGTTGACATGTATCTCACTCAATCCTACACATGGTCACATGTATCTCACTCAATCCTACACATGGTCACATGTATCTCACTCAATCCTACACATGGTCACATGGTCTAACCCCATCTTACACATTGTCACATATATATCTCACTCCATCCCAACATGGTCACATGCATCTCACCCTATTCTGCACATGGTCACATGTCTCTCATCCAATCCTTCACATGGTCTCATGTCTCTCACTCCGTCGAACACATGTTCATGTATCTCACCCTATCCTACACATGGTCACATGCATCTCAAGCTATTCTGCACATAGTCACATGTCTCTCATCCAATCCTACACGTGGTCACATGTCTCTCACTCAATCCTACACACGGTCACATTGTCTAACCCCGTCCTACACATTGTCAAATATATCTCTCACTCCATACCATACATAGTCACATGTCTCTCACCCTACCCTACACATGGTCACATGCATCCCAGCCCATCCTATACATGGTCACATGCATCTCACCCTACCCTACACATGGTCACATGCATCCCAGCCCATCCTATACATGGTCACATGCATCTCACCCTACCCTACACATGGTCACATGCATCCCAGCCCATCCTATACATGGTCACATGCATCTCACCCTACCCTACACATGGTCACATGCATCCCAGCCCATCCTATACATGGTCACATGCATCTCACCCTACCCTACACATGGTCACATGCATCCCAGCCCATCCTATACATGGTCACATGCATCTCACCCTACCCTACACATGGTCACATGCATCCCAGCCCATCCTAAACATTGTCAAATATCTCTCCCTCCATCCTAAACATGGTCACATGTCTCTCACCCAATCTTACACTTGGTCACATGTCTCTCATCCCATCCTTCAAATGGTGACATGTCTCTCACTCCATCCTACACATGTTGACATGTATCTCACCTTATCATACACATGGTCACATGTATCTCACCCGATCCTACCCATGGTCTCTCACTCCAGCCTAAACATGTTCACATATATCTCACCCCATCCTTCATTTTGTCAAATATGTTTCCCTCCATCCTACACATGGTCACGTGTCTCTCAGCCCATCCTACACATGGTCACATGTCTCTCACCCCATCCTACACATGGTCATATGTCTCTAACACTATCCTACACATGGTCACATGTCTCTCACTTCATCCTTCACATGGTGACGTGTCTCTCATCCCATCCTACACATGGTCACATGTCTCTCACCCCAACCTACAAATGGTCACATGTCTCTCACTTCATCCTACAAATGGTCTCATGTATCTCACCC